GCGGTGCTGCAGAGCAAGCTGGGGATTAAGGACAAGGGGCAGCTCGCCACCCAGCAAGGACATCAGCGGGCAGATAAGGCTGCGGCTCCGTCCCCGGGGGCTGGTGGTGAGGGATCAGCCGTGCTCGTCTGCTCGAGCATCCTTGCTCCGGGCTGGCTGCGGATCAAGGGATCAGGAGCTGCCAGCTGCTCCCGGGGCGGCCAAACCCTGCAGGGTGGGAAGCGTTTAATGCGGCAAGAAGAGCTCAGGGCAGTGCTCTGAGCCCCCTCTCAGCTAGGGCTGCCCTCCCGACGTGTCCCTCTGCGTGAGCAGCCGCGGGGCGGCCGGCGGACCTTGGACACCTCGTGATGGCAGCGCCAACGGCCACGTTTGCTGCCCGGCTGCTTCCCGTGCTGCCGAGGGGAAGGGACCTTCCCTTTGCCCGCTGGACTCTGCTCCATCTCTGTCATGTGCAGCAGAACGGGAGCAGAACGTTTCCCTGCGTATCCAGGCACTGAGCATGAATTTAAGTGGGGCATCGGGGTGGGCTCAGGCTGACAGCAGCGTGATAGGAGAGCGCAGGGTCCTGTGGTCTGACAGGAGGGTACTGTGAGCTTGGAGAGAGCTAAAATGGCTCTGAGCAAGGCTGCAGCCCTTCTGTGACTCTAGAGGCCACTCTGCTTCCTCTACCCATGATTTCAGCCCCACCATGGCAAGGTTGATTTATTTTAAGCAGTTTTGAAGCGAGTTCCTGGCACTGGGCTTTGGTTTGTAGCACTGGGAGGATGTGACAACCATTTCCAGAGAGGAAACTCGGGAACACCGTCCTGCAGATGGGGACATGCCTGCAGCCGCAGCTTTGCTTGTACCACCTTCCCCTTGCTCTGCCCTGCAGCACCTTTAGCAAGCGGCAGCAGCGAAGCAAACTGAGCCCAGGGACTGCATTTCCTTCCCTGGCAGTAGGCTCTAGACATCCAACGTGTCCCATGGAGCAATCTTGGCTTCTCCACAGGGATATATCCTCTTAACTCACTTGCTTTCCAGCACTGATCCCATCTCTTGGGTCTAGATGCTCTTACCCACCTTTCTTTGTTCCCCTCGTGCAAGTCCAAAGTCCCTGTCACACAAAGCAGCCCCAAAAAGGGACCCATTTGCTGCAGTGGGAGCCTCAACATCTGGCTTGGACGGAGCCATCCACGTGGCTCACAGCTGGCACTGCCACTGAGACTCCTCTCCCCAAACCCTGGCCCCATTCGTGGCCTGCATGGGGCCAAAAGAGCCCCTGGGCTCCTGGCAGTGGCACCCCAGACCCGCAGCAGCGTCCCACTGGGCAGGCAGCAAGATGTCCTGCGAGAGCCTGATGTCTTATTTTATTTTCATCCTTTTTTGCTTGTCTCTGTGGTTTTCACAGGGTGAAGAGGAGGAAGATGGCTGACAAGGTCCTGCCGCAGAGGGTGAGTGCTGCCTCGGTGTGTGGGGATGGAGCTGAGCTGCTGCAGGGAGGTGGTGAATCCTCCAGGATGGCTCAGGGGATGAGGTCCCCACGAGGACCTCGCTGAGCCCCCTCTTGCCCCCTGGGCATTTCTTGGTCCCAAACCAACCTGGAAGGTTCCTGTCTCTGGGTGACAGGAGAGGTTTGGGGTGTGCAGAAGTTGGACAAGCAGGACTATAAGCAAGCAAGGAGTAGCAATGCCTTGGGGTGGAGACCTCAGGAGGACCCTAAGCCCCTCCTGGGGGTCCCTTGTGACAGTCCAGGGTTACGTTAAGGGCCTGTGACACCGAGCAGGCTGCTGGGTTCCATGGCAGGCTCCAAACTGAGGTCTGCAGTACAGCTCTCTGATTTAGGGACAGCCTTCCAGAGCCGTAGTCCTCATTTAAACTGAGAAATCAGTGCCGTTGTGCTGGACTCATCACTTGGTGACCCCTCGGTGCTGCCGGGGCTGGGGTGTGGGATGCAGGGGGGCACTGACCATTTCTGTCTGACAGATCCGGGAACTGGTCCCAGAATCCCAGGCCTACATGGACCTCCTCGCCTTTGAGCGCAAGCTGGACCAAACCATCGCTCGGAAGAGGATGGAGATTCAGGAGGCCATTAAGAAGCCGCTGACGGTGCGTGGCGAGCAGCCGGACGGGGTTGGGGAGCTCTGAGGTGGGTGCTGCGGTCACCCTCTCGCTCCAAGCACCCCCCTCTTTGTGTTCCTGTTCCACAGCAAAAGCGGAAGCTGAGGATTTACATCTCCAACACTTTCACCCCGGCCAAAGAAGAAGGGGAGGGCGGCGAACGCGTGGCCTCCTGGGAGCTCCGCGTGGAGGGCAAGCTGCTGGAGGACGTAAGGAGATGGGCAGGGACGAGCTGGCCGTGGGAGGAGCTGCTGGAGCTCGGCTGGGGTGGGGATGTGGCCCTCTGGGTGCTGGAGGCGGCGTTTGGGTGTCAGGCCAAGCCTCCCCCGCTCTGTTTTGCAGCCAAGCAAGCAGAAGAGGAAGTTCTCGTCCTTTTTCAAGAGCCTGGTCATCGAGCTAGACAAAGAGCTGTATGGGCCAGACAACCATCTGGTGGAGGTGAGACCGGAGGCTCCTGGCCGTGCTGGCTGCCTTTTCCTCCCTGGTGGCCGGGTTTGGTGGCTCCGGGCTCAGCTCTTAACCCCCTCGTGCCTGCAAGGGTGCGATTTGAACAGAGAGGCTGCAGCGAGGTCGCTTGGGCAGCCCTGGGTCCCACAGATCTGCAAAATTGAGGCCCACCGTGGGTGAAGATGCCACAGAAAGGCTGATCTGTGCATCCCAGCACCAAGAAGGGTCTGCGCATTTGCCTAAGCCCTTGGCTGCAGGGTCCTGGGAGAGATTAAGCACTGCCCGAGTGGGATCAGGCCTTTTTTGGATGCTCCTGCCTGAAGCAGCTTTCCCTGCATCCAGCTCATGCCTTTGCCCCTGGGAAGTGCCAATTTCTGTGGTAGGGGTGAGCCCCCTTTGTGTACAGGGTGGTTTGTGAGAGCAGCTCTGATGCAATGACTGAGGCAGAATTGATCCTGCATTGACTCCAGGAGCTCCTGGAGCCCTTGACATCAGGTGGGACACAGAATCTGTGATTCAAGCCCTTGACATCAGGGGCTCAGGGCTATAACTCCCCCAGCCCATCCAGACTCCCATGCTGGGGCTGTATCCATTGGACTGGGTGGGCTCTTGACTGAAGCCCCCTGGGCTCAGACCCTCAGGGACTGCTGGGGTGCGATCCAGGCTGCTCCTGGACACGAAGCCTTGTCATGGTCATGGTCCTGCAGTTCACCGGTGTCCCCTTGGTCTCTCGCAGTGGCACCGGCTGCCCACAACCCAGGAGACCGACGGCTTCCAAGTGAAGCGTCCCGGCGACGTCAATGTGAAATGCACGCTGCTGCTCATGCTGGATCACCAGGTAGGGACCCCAGCGACCCACGGGTGCTGGTCATGCTCTGCCACCCTTCCTCCAGCACAGCTCATCTGTGTGGGGAGGTTTGGTGTGAGCAAACAGACCTGGGCTGGGGCAGAGCCCTAATCTGAGGCTGCTGTGGGGATGGAAAGGAGCACAGAGAGCTCCAGGCGTGGTCCCTGCAGCGACACAAGCGCCAGACCCTTCCTCCTGCCTGTCCCTGCAGCCACCGCAGTACAAACTGGACCCTCGCCTGGCTCGCCTGCTCGGGGTGCACACCCAGACCCGTGCCAGCATCATGCAGGCGCTGTGGCTCTACATCAAGCACAACAAGCTGCAGGACAGTCACGAGAAGGAGTACATCAACTGCAACCGCTACTTCCGCCAGGTCAGCCCTCATCCCACGGCACTGCCACCCTTCCCACCCCAGGAAGGCCAGAAGAAGGAGATTTTCTGGTTCAAAACAGACACTCCAGCCTCCCTGGTCTCAATTTATGTCCCTTCCCCAGGCTCTAACTTGCATCCAGCAGCTTGCCCTGCACAGACCGGGGCTGGGCAAGTCCCCTCCTCCTGCCTGGCCCTTTTGGTGGTGGGTGGAAGGAGCCACAGACAGCAAATCAGAGTTGTTATGGTTGGAAAAGAGCTTTAAGATCATCAAGTCCAACGTTATCTGACTCTGCCATGTCCCTGAGCACTGTATCTGGATGGCTTTTAAATCCATCCAAGGATGGTGATTCACTGCTGCCCTGGGCAGCCTGTGCCAGTCCTTGGTAACACTTTAGCGTAGATGTTTTTCCTGATATCCAACCTCAACCTCCCCTGGTGCAACTTGAGGCCGTTTCCTCTTGTCCTATGGGTTATAACCTCTAAGAAGAGACCCACACTCACCCTGTACCCCCTCCAGTCAGGGAGTTGTGGAGGGTGACAAGGTCTCCCATCAGCCTTCTCTTCTTCAGACTAAACGACCCCAAGTCCCTCAGCTGCACCTCCTAAGACTCATTCTCAAGACCCTTCCCCAGCTTTGTAGCCCATCTTTGGACCCTCTCCAGCACCCGATGTCCTTACACCACAGCGCTGTGCCACAAAGCAATGCTCTGCTTCACCCCTCCAGATCTTTAACTGCATCCGCATGCGCTTCTCCGAGATCCCCATGAAGCTGGCGGGGCTCCTGCAGCACCCGGACCCCATCATCATCAACCACACCATCAGGTAGGGGTGCAGGGCCAGGTACCTCCCAAGTGGGGCGCAGGAGGGGCCACGAGGTCTCCAGCCCAAAGCAGCAGCGAGCACAGCTCATTTGGGAGGGGAAGAATCAGCCAAACAGATTTTTGGGGCTGTTTGGGTGCTTGTGTAGCTGTTGGAGGGGGTTGATCCAGCCCAGCTGCAGGGTGGAGGCTGAGGAAGTCCCCCCCTAACACCACGTTTCCTTCCTCGCAGCGTGGACCCCAATGACCAGAAGAAGACGGCCTGCTACGACATCGACGTGGACGTGGACGATCCCCTGAAAGCTCAGATGAGCAATTTCCTGGCTTCCACCACCAACCAGCAGGAGATCGCCTCCCTGGATGCCAAGGTGGGACCCCCACGAGGGGTGGGACCCCCATGAGGCCACTAATTAGGCACTTTAACGCCACACTATGGAGCTGGGGGGAGCTTGGTGGCAGCAGTGTCCTGTCCCTGGGGTCAGCTGCCTCTCAGCCCCCATCATCTCCACAGATTCACGAGACCATCGAGTCCATCAACCAGCTGAAGACGCAGCGCGATTTCATGCTGAGCTTCAGCAACAACCCGCAGGATTTCATCCAGGAATGGATCAAATCCCAGAGGAGAGACCTCAAGGTGAAACCCTGGAGGGCTGGGCACAGTGAGGGAGCTGGGGGTCCAGCTCTGGCACTTACCCCTTGTCCCCCAAACCCCCTATTTTGCTCAGATCATCACGGATGTGATCGGGAACCCTGAGGAGGAGCGGCGAGCCGAGTTCTACCAGCAGCCCTGGGCGCAGGAGGCTGTGGGCAGACACATCTTCGCCAAGGTGGGGTGCTGCAGCACAGTGGGGCTGGGGGGGCAGCTCCCCACACCCTGCCTGACCTCCCCAATCCCTCCTCACCTCCAGGTCCAGCAGCGTCGGCAGGAACTGGAACAAGTGCTCGGCATCCGCCTGACCTAAGAGGCCGGCGGGGGGCCCGGGGGGGCTGGGCCCACCCCCCCTTAGGGGCCGGCGGGGGCTCGGGAGCCGCTGCTCCTCCTCTCGCTGCTGGTACTTCTTACTGGAATCAAACACAGCACTTGCACAAACCCGATGTGCCTGGAGGGATTCGGAGCTGCCCCCGGGCTCCCCTCAGCCGGGAAGCTCCAGCCGCAGGCAGAGCGCAGCAGAGGGTTCCCCACCTGCACCCCAAAATCCCGCTGCTGCGTTAACGCATCCTGCTTCTGCATCGTGCCCTTCGCCTCCTCCCTGTCAGCCCCGCTCTGCTCGCTCCCCTCCTGCCCAAAAAAACCCCTCCTGGAAGGAGGGGAAAAGCTGCCTGTGCCCAGGGGGGAGCCCCTGCCTGCCCCCCTCTGAGCCCGGCCTGGTCCAAAACCCCCTTTTTTTTTTGCAACCAAAGTTTGTTGTCATTCCAAACGCCAGCCCCCACTTCCCGCTGGTGCCTGACGTTTTGCACTATTTTTGTGAGCAGGTTTTATATAAAAAAAAAGAGGAAAAAAAAAAAGCAGCGTTTTGTACAGTGGGTTTGTAGTTGATGAATATATTGAGGTTCTCAATCTATGCAGGGGTTCGTGGGGTGCTCAGAGGCTCGGCCCGAGCTCCTTTTTTATACGTAACCCAGTTTTTTAGTGTTAAGTTTTCGACAATCAGTTTCTGCTCCACCTCCCCCTGCTGTTTTACAGAATTAGGGACTCATCCTGTGAGCAAGAGGAGGGCAGAGGGGGGAGCTCTGCCCCCCAGGAGCCTGCAGGGTCAGTGGGGCTCTGAGCACAGGTCGGGGCCACAGTGAACTGGAGATACTGGGAAGGGAGGGGACCACAGCGCTGGGGCTGAGGGGATGGTGACACCCCCACTGAAGTGCCTTAACCCCCCTGCTCCCCATGGCTCCAGTCACAGGCAGAGGGGAGGGGGGCGTTTACATATTGCCAGGGTGTACGGCTCAGGGGTGCCTGCTCTGCCTCTCGTGTAACCGTTTTGTTGTCTATTTTGGATATTTTCTAATAAAACCAGTTAGCAGCTCTGTGTGTGGGTGGTGGAGTCCCACAGCCCCCCTCCCCCTACCCCCAAATCAGCGCACAGGCCTCCCCTTCCCCCCAAATCAGCGCACAGGCGTGGCCATAGCAGCACTTTATTAGAGACCACGAACGCAGCCTCACCGTTACTTCCACAGCTTCTTGATGGACATGTTCTTCTCGCTGTCCTTCTGCATCACCTGGGCAGGGAGGAGGAGATGAGTGCAGACCCCCAAGTTGGGTGCTAAGACCCACCCCCCCCAAAATCACGCCCCAAATCAAGCTTCACAGAATGGCTCGGGTGGGAAAAACCTCCGCGCACATCACCGCCCCCC